GTCAACAGTCGAAACATTTGCGTCGAAAACGGATGCGACTCCCTTCCCTGAAGGACAACAAATACGATCCTCCCTCCCTGGATCCTCAACATTTGGCATGCTCATACGACGTGAGCACTATCTTTGTGAGAGGGCGCTGGGGAGCAGCGAATATCGTATGGCGTATCAAATTAAGGGCGGAGGTATACAAAGCAAATGCCACTCACATGCCTCCAGCTTTCCCGTCGTGCGAGTTTGCGAGTTACTAAAGTTGCGCACATCAGCGGCTGCAGGATTGTCCGCCTCATACAGGACTATCCATCCGTAAGGTGATCACATAGTGTGTCTTTGAATCTACGAAAAAGTTATGTGAAAGGAATTCATCTAAGCTCATCTTTACGACAATATTTCTAGAAGGATGATAAGTCAAAGAAGGACACAAAAACAGCAGAGAAAGACAAAGATGCGAAGACTGATTTGTCATCTCAGCAAGCAGTTGCTGTTATTGGTATCGGACTGATCGCGATGGGTGAAGAGGTTGGATCTCAGGTGGGTCGGATTGTTAGATCTTCATGTGGGTTGGATTGTAAGATCATCCTATATAAAGGTTGGTGATGCGTGTAATATTTAATTTACCTTTGCAGATGGCATTGCGAATGTTTGGTCATCTTATTCGGTACGGTGAGCCAGTCATACGAAGGGCAGTCCCATTAGCTTTGGCATTGATCTCAGTTTCAAATCCTCAACTGAATATTTTGGAAACATTGAGCAAGTTCTCGCATGACGCTGATTCCGACACTGCACATAATGCTATTTTTGCAATGGGATTGGTGAGTGACTTTCTAACTACTGATTAATGAATCAAGTAGAGGTGTTAGTCCAATATGGGTCCGCAATCCAATCGTTGATGGGCGCTGTTCGGTTTGGTGGGGACGCCATGTGCTACTCAGCTAAGCTTGTACAGGCCATCTTGTGAAGGCCTGTAAATTCCTGTGACCGAAGTGGCTCGCTCGAGCGCTTTTGTAGCCTCACAGTACTCTACAGGTCTGATCAAAGTGGGACCTGTTAGCTAACATTAACCAATGAAAGGAAGTAGCGAGTATGCAGAATGCCCCTCCAAGCTGAGCAGCGCAGTTAATCTTAGTATGATGCTGTCCCGGAGCCTCATTGTAATCTGAACATGAAACACGTAAACGTAAAAGGGGCCGCCATCGAAAATCTCAACTGCAAACAACTCAAACGAATCCAAAAGTTCTTACACTTTTGGATCTTTTGCATCTTTTGAGTTTTTTGCAATAAAATTTTTTGGCGCCTCTTTTACGTGTCTCTTGTTCAGCTCAGTTAATGTTAAATGCTTCTCTTGTTCAGCTCAGTTAATGTTAAATGCTTCCTCTTGTTCAGCTCAGTTAATGTTAAATGCTATCTTTTGAGGTCGGTGCTGGTACGAATAATGCTCGTCTAGTAGCAATGCTTCGATCGCTGGCCAGCTACCACCACAACGATCAGGTAAAAGTAGTACTGGCATTAGGACACGTCTGAAAAATGATTCAGCTGCTTTATTACGCTAATGTTTCAGGTTTCTTTAATGTTGGTACGACTTTCACAAGGTCTTACGCATCTTGGGAAAGGTACAATGACGTTAAATCCATGGCATTCTGACCGGCAATTGCTGTGCCCGAGCGCCATTGCAGCACTTCTTACGATCTGCTTTGCATTCTTGGATGCTAATAACTCTGTGAGATAACTTGATTTCTTTCTTTTTTGAATTGTTATTTAAACTTCCTAATTTGATTCCTTTAGGTGTTAAACAACCGACAGCATTACTTGCTGTACACCCTCGTGCTTGCTATGCAACCACGAATGCTCGTTACATTATGTGTAGACGACAAGAAGCCGGGTCAACTAAAACAGGTAAGTTTTCGAAGACGATTCTATTGATTTATTCCTAATTTCGCAAGCGATATGTTGTTAAGCTTGGCAACCGGAGAATTTATTAACTACATTTTCCTATCGATTAACAGCTGCGTGCTGTAGTTGCAAGGAACACAAATGGGCCCCCTAATATCCCATTGTACAAAAACCAACAGCTACAGGAGTAACTAAGAAGTCTCCGAAATGTTTTCGGATTCTTCGGTGCACACCTTCCTCAGCGGCTCAGAGTCATACTCAGGAGGGAGGCTTGAATGTGCTCCAAGCAACTCACTTAGGTCGCCTGTTATTATTGTGTATTTGTCCTGTAGGCCCGAAATATTCGAAACATCATGCACTTTTTGGTTTCTTTCGGAAGCCCTCCCACATTCAAAAAGGGTGAGTTGTGCGGCTCAAAAAGTGATGGCAAGTAAAAAATATGCTAAATAACATAAGAAGGAAGAGTAAAGCACCAGAAACCCGCAAGAATTGCCCGTGTGGAACCTTTGCTGAACGCGCTTGTACGTGCTCAAGGCGAAGAAGGAGCGTGGTCGGACGAATTCTCACTTGTTGGTGCCAGCTCTTTCTCCTTATCATCTCACTCTCACCATCAAAATGGAGAGAGTTAGCAGCCGAATAACCGCACCATCAGGTAGCAGCTAAAAATGAAAGATGGGCGTCGCTGTGGCCAGTGGGCGGGGTCGTGGTTCCATCGCGGCAGGGCGGCGCTCCCTTCATGTATTTTCAAGCTGCGAAAGTAGTATATTCTCCATGGTTGCAGAGAGGACGGCCTTGTCCAAAGAAGGCGTTTGAATATTGGATGGATGCGGAGCATGCCTGTAGATAGACCAGTGCATTTCTAATACCTAGCTGCGAATCTTTTCTTTTTCTCAGCCAAAGTCATTAGCAAAGTTAATTGTTATAGGTCGGTGTAACGGTACGAGTGGGTCAAGCCGTCGATGTGGTAGCTCAAGCGGGTAAACCGAAGACAATCACGGGCTTCCAAACACACACGACGCCAGTTCTTCTGGCCTATGGCGAGCGAGCCGAATTAGCAAATGAAGAATGTAAGTATTCAGTCACGTACTTTTTGAAATGTTTGGGCGCAGGTGTAGCAGGGTCCGCTACCTCTTAGAGTTAGTTCGTCAAAGGCACGTTAATGACTAGGAAACGTATTATATCATCTTAAAAGACATACATTTCATTAACTGTTCTCTTACGTCATCGACACGTCATCTACCTCTTAAGAGGTAGAGAGGTAAAGAACATGATCGCGTAACTGCGCTACGCTATCAGCGCCATAGCTTGTCCTTTCACTTCTGATAGTTTCATTTTCAGATATAGCAATGACGCCGTATTTGGAGGGTTTGGTAATATTAAAGAAGAATCCTGAATATGACACACCGGTAGCAGCCAAAAAATAGATGGTCCAGAATATGTTTTGTCATTTTGCTCGACTCTGTGCATATAATTATGGAATTGTGATGTACTATTATCACGAACATTAATTCCTCTATCACTGTAGTACTGTGTGAAATGTGTTTCACTGAGGAAAGCAGCAATGATCACAGTGCTATTTAATAATTTATATTTATTGATCCAAATGTCTCGTAACTAACTGTATACGGCTCTTTGTTTTGCTGAAATCTCCACTACGGTGTTACTGGTGTGCAGTGCGCGTCAGTTGATTCTCGACATGTTTGCTGAGGTTTTGATAAATATTCTAAAATATTGTTCTGTAGTTCAGATAATATAGATGGTTCCCTGAGCTTCATTGTATTGTATACACAAGAACAATGTTCTGTAGTTGATAAACTGCGCTAGGCCTTCGATAATAAGGCTGTGATAGCGCGCGAAGGCTGACGTGATCCGTAAATCTGGTCACCAGCCAAGCTGACAAGACGCTCAAAAGACAAACTTCGTGAGCGGTCCTCTCGTCTTCCAGTCGCCTTGCGCCAGCTTTCTGCGATACCGTAATCTCGGGCCACGCCCATCCAGGTCGTGGACCCGACAACTGCCTTCAGAGAACCGTGAAAGTGTTGGCTTGCGAACATTGTAATTAGTAGCACCCCACTATTGAGTATAGCAGTGGAGCGTCGGTTGGAGCGCAGTGATCGATATGGCTTGACTGGCGGCTGGTTTGGAGCGCAGCTATTGTTCCAACAATGATGTACATAAACCTGAACCCGCTACAACTGGTGAGAAATCTGCCCTGGCTGCGTCCTGAACCACGCCTCCGACGATGAGGCCCTAGGACGTCGATTAACTGAAACGTTTTGTTCGTGCGTCGAATCTACAGTCGTGATCCCTCAGACTGGCCATCCGTAATTGCGTACTTCACTGGGACGCGACGGCGGCTGCAGTAGGAGTGGCGATCGATGCTGCATGATCACCTGATTTCAGCGATTAATTTTTCTATTTTGCCTGTTATTCTGCTAACTAGAAGGAAAAGTGAGTTCATATTATTTACTCTAATTTGAGGTTTTATTGTATATTTTGCTTTCAGTCGCTATTTGACTGCAGTGACGGTGTTTTTACCCACTTTTTGATTTTGTTTAGGTTTTTTGTTTGTGCTTTGAATGTTGGACTGTTCTCCATGGCAGTGTCGTTATGTGTCCTCATTAGTACAAAAAAACCTAAACAAAATCAAAAAGTGGGTAAAAACACCGTCACTGCAGTCAAATAGCGACTGAAAGCAAAATATACAATAAAACCTCAAATTAGAGTAAATAATATGAACTCACTTTTCCTTCTAGTTAGCAGAATAACAGGCAAAATAGAAAAATTAATCGCTGAAATCAGGTGATCATGCAGCATCGATCGCCACTCCTACTGCAGCCGCCGTCGCGTCCCAGTGAAGTACGCAATTACGGATGGCCAGTCTGAGGGATCACGACTGTAGTACTTCCGAGCAGGCGGAACAGAACTGTATACTTGCATTGTGCAGCACTCTATCTTTAACAGGAGTGAGGAACAGTACTCACCCTCCCACGCCTTAGTCTCTCCTCACGATAAATATTGCCACTGAACCACCTTAGTCTTACTGCACCAAAGGTCTAATCCCAAGTTTTCAGCACCCATCCTAGTCAATACTCTAACAAGGGAGGTCGTTCAGGCCGTGGTGAGCTTTTTCAAAACGGTTTGTTGCATGTTGTAGGGGTCCATGCGAGGACCATAGCGATGGGGTTCATTTTTGCTAAACGGTACTGGGAATGTCAAAAAAAGGTCAAAAATAATTCGAAAAGAATGGGCTTTTTAAACCACCTTATTCGCCTCTGTTCTAGCTGTAGCGTTGACAGGGTATAGTATGTAGGGTATCCTTTGAGCAGGCATGAAAAACAGCGCAAAATAAGGTCAAAATCCAAATGGTCTACTTGGCATGCGGTGAGCTGCATTGGAGTTTTCCGGTCATCTGCGCATTTCTCTTCAACAGGTCCTGCATTTCCCATGTCGCAGTGGCAGATGGTGTGGTGGATAGCGTGACGGGCTCTCATTCGGTGGGTTTATGGATCGGATCCCCTTGGCGGCAGTTTTTGCATTTTTCAGATTTCTTGCATCTTGTATTCCTGTATGCCCCATAATGTGTATGACCCGGATATACGCCATTTAAAGACACATTCCATGCGGGAACGGTTCACAACGGGCCTCACTCAATTATTACGCTCGCGAAATACTATCGAAGAAACTCTATGAAACTTGGGTTACGGCGGTTATCCGATGCTCTGATCATGAACATGACACTCATTTTTGAATATGGCGCAATGTGTCGCCAATTTGGTGCAAAGGCTTTCTCGTACTAGCATCATTGTCAGTCTGCGCGCGGGGCTTATTTAGCGCCATACTGGTCCCAGATGGCCTCCGCGCCAAAAATAAGTGTCAGAACCGTGATCAGGACCATCAACTATCCCTACGTATAGAGTTACGCCGGAAAAAATTTTTCCGAGTTTTTTGTGTTATGATGCCTGCCATGTCTCCAGCTAGTGGCTATCAGTTCCCCCCCCCTAAAGAGTCATTATTCAACATCGTTAAGAGGGGCTTTTCATTTGTTAGTATGCAGACGAGAATTAACAACTACACAAAAAAGTGAGGCACATACACTGCACACCACTAATACCTTTGATATGGGAGAAACAAGATCTTTTTTCCGGGCAGGTGGTAACGAGTTCTTTGTCGAAATTGTCGAAGACGGTAAAAGTGGAGAAAGTTTCAGGATGCTCGTTTAATGACTCCGAAGCCAGCACGGTGTTCTATGTAAACCTACTGAAGTTGAGAGTGCAAGAAATGAAAAATTTCTGGTGGTTTGTATGCCAGAGAGGATACTCAATGGAGGGTTCGCCTGTCACTGCCATCCAAATGGTCAAGTCCATGACCACCAAAAACTCGAAAAAATTTTTCGCTGAAACCTCTTAAATAGGGGTAATCAATGGCCCTGATCACGATTCTGACAATTATTTATGGCGCCGACGTGATCTGGGGCCAGCGTGGCGCTAAATGGCCACTGCGAGCGCGAAGGGATGCTGCATAAACCCCTAAAGAAACTGCAGTGTACCTCACTGTATGCAAAGTAAAGCACTTCAATTTCGACCTTATTCAATATTGTTTTTCATGTCTAGTTGAGAAACACTTTATAAACTCTATGTATTCTGCTTTACAGCTGAAACAGATGCGAATGAGATGATAAAACTTGCGTATTTTAAGCGATTTGTTTTTATTCCTTTTTTGACATTCCCAATAGCGTTTAGCAAAAATGAAACCCATCTGTGTGGTCCTTGTATGGACCCCTACAACATGCAACAAACCGTTTTGAAAAAGCTCACCACGGCCTGAACGACCTCCCTTGTAAGACTCCCGGACACCATCACTGTAGGAGCTCCGCGAACTGCTCGTTTTATGCCAGCAAAGCGATATCATGACCCTTTACCTCACTAATCGTTTATTCGCGTCATCCAATGCTAATACCGTAATCCAAAAGTGAAAGCAAAACATGGGGCAAAACCGGACTTGTGACAGGAAATAGACTTTGAGTATTGGTCTGCAGGATAACCAGGTAAGCGTCAGAACTGCCACTTTTGAAGGACAGGGCCCCGTTACTTACTATGAAACTACAAAAGTGCTTTAGCACGGGGACTGTATCAGATTACAGGTTCATGACTCCTGTATCTGAATGTGTGTAGCGGTTTTTGAATACAAAAGAGTTTAGGCTATACATATTTATTATAATAACATCAAAGTAAAAGGGAAGGGAACTTGGACGGGGTGGAGGACGGTCGGGGGTGGACCGTCACATCGTGAGTACTCACTACCACTGGCGGTCCTCTCGTCTTCCAGTCGCCTTGCGCCAGCTTCCTGCGATACCGTAATCTCGGGCCACGCCCATCCAGGTCGTGGACCCGACAACTGCCTTCAGAGAACCGGTGTGTTGCTTGCGAACTTGAAGTTAGTCGGCACCCATACGTATCGATAACCAGTGGAGCGTCGGTTGGAGGCGCAGTGATGATATGGCGTGTGACGCGGCTTGGTTTGGAGCGCAGTCACAGCGCTATTGTTCCAACAATGATGTCAACCTGAACCCGCTACAAATGGTGAGAAATCTGCCCTGGCTGCGTCTCGAACCACGCCCCCGACATACGCCCAGAATTCATAACTGTACGTTTTGTCGTGGAGTCATCCCATTTCCATCAGTGGGTGCGAGCCCCATAGTGTCAAGGACTGGTTGGAGCAATCTGGCGCCGCGCCACAACGTTTTTACGCAGGAGCGCCTCCACGTGGCGCATCGCTAGACCCTACAGAATATGGCTTTCAAACGGCTGGAAACGCAAGAAAGATAGGACATTACAACACAGTCGCCCCATCGGTTGGCAATCCCTCCTTCCTCCGGACTTTAAGTTTTCCATTCAGGAGAACAAATGGCTCCAACAGTTTCTAATATGCCGTGGGATCCGCCGCACATCTCACTAGTACGCTTCTAGAGAATAAGAAATGATAAAAATTTATTGAAAGACTTTGAAATTAACGCTACATGTAAAATTACCGTATTGCAACCTCATATATCAAACGTCAAAGGCAGATCGAACAAGTGAATGAAAGAACGGTTGGTTGACTGATTGAGGGCGCTGAAGATGAGGCAACCATGACAAAGCGATACGATTAACATTCAAGGGAGGAGAAAGGCACTCACAGAAGTTGAGCATCAATGGAATGTCTCTGATCAATGAAATAAGGGATCGATACCGATCAATATTAAGCTATGAACATATTGCACGTCCAACTAAATAAATAAAAAAGAGCACAAAAACAGTAAGGGGACACGTTTGACATTGAATAAATGCTCTTCTCAACAAACATTGTCACTGAATAAATACATAAATTAATATACATTTCTATCTGGATCTGACTTTTAGGAAAAAATTAAGAGATGAAACTCGCAAGTCAATAAAGGGTAAATTATTCCGTTTGTCCTGGTCGATACATGTGCTGCTGAGCGATCCGACGACGTTGCTCTACCTCTTTTGACTCCTCGTCCCGGGTGACATACATTGTCTTTGACTCGTACTCATCATCATCTTCATAGTAAAAGCCAATCGGACGTGGCGCTTCTGTAACAAAAAGAACACTTGGGGGACAATCTACGATAACCTGACAGGTAGACGTCCTCCCACGCTCAAATAGTGGTGGTTCACAGCCAGTTGCAGTGTGCGGCTTTCGTCCCGTAAAATTGCGTGGGAAGGGTGCTAGGAACTCGCAGCGTAGGGTGCTGTCCACCCTAGACGTGAAGTCCACGCCCATTCCGCCTCATTTTGACAAAACAAGACAAGACAGGATTCGGTAAAGGTCAAATCGACTAGACAGGGAAAAAGCAGATATCATCAAGTTATTAGCAAGTGAGATCGCCCGCTCGAGTCGTGAAGTATGAATGCACCCCCTCATTCGTGAGGAACAGGGGGGGGGAGGTATGACGGTATGACGCTGACGTTAGAAAATGGCAATGGTATTGGTATGTACCCACTATTGAACGGAAGGGGGAAGAGTAAACTCCAGGAAAAGTCGGACCTCCGAGGAAGCCAGAGGCACCAGAAGTCTAACAAGGAGCAAGCCAAGGAGCAGGGAATCGCGAGAGAAAGCGGAGCCCTATGCTGAAGAAAAGTGTTGAAAACAAAAAAAATACCTATAGCACCTATTGCAGGCCGTCCGTACAAGAAATTTGACTGTTGCAAGTCGTCTATTTGAACCTTATCGGCAAAATCAACTTCTGATCGATTGAATCGGAACGAGATCATAAATATGACGATAACAATGACCACAAGTATTGCGACAACACCGCCTGAAATCGATTTTAATTTCGAAAAAATAAAGGAGTTTGAGCGAAGCTTAAAAAATTGACATTTATACTGTAACTTACCACACTGGACAGGGCACATCGTACGTTGGGGATCCCGGTAATAGGGGTCGTTTTCGGATGTGGAAGGAGGGGGGTCGTATTTTCGCCATTGTGAACAATTTTTTTCGGCTCTTGACTTTTGTCCGCTTTTACTTTCTCATCTTCGCCATAAACCCACCACCCGTCCCCGTCCCGTCCCCTTTCGACGGCTGTTTTTTGGCAACTCCAGCAAAGAGGTAGAAATTCGGGATACATTGTAGGTTCAAAAAGACTGTAGGTAAGATAAAGAAGGGGAGGAGGTCGTACTAGAGGAGAGAAATTTGGGGAGGGGGTGTATTCAAGATTTTACTCTAATTATACGTGTCCAGGCAGTCTAACGTAAAAAAAAGCTTTTTCAAGTGAGACTCGACGAAACATGGGTTGCTAGAGGAAAACATACCGATTCCAGCGGTTATCATTGCTACCCGTTGAGACTTTGGTTGGAAACGGACTTCACACCTAAACAGGGAAATTCGTTACAAACGAGTAGAAAACAAGAGCCGCACTAATGTAACGAAAAGAATCAAGAATGAAGGAAAATCAAAGGTAGGAGAGAAGAAATGCCTGAGAAAACTCAGCCCCAAATATCTCACCGTTCACCGCTGAAATTCTCCTTACAAGCGCATTCCACATAGCCCACTGGGTTCTTCTTACAAACACCATCGTTCAGACAGTAGTTTGTGCAGGCATCTGAAAACAGTAATAGGAGTTGGTTGACATAGTTTTTTT